AATTATTCTTACCTGTTTCCTTTTTTTCCTTCGGGACAAGGTACAAAAAACTCGGCCGTTTGTTTTTTTTTCGCCAAACAAACATTATAACTGTAACTTATTATAATGTTTAAAAGTAGCCAGAAGTCATATTTCAAACCCTCTTTTTTTCTTCTTTTTTTCTTCTGCTAACAATTTAATGATTGGACCTGAAAATATAATAATAATAATAATAAAAATGACATTAAGCACGCTTTTTTTTTTTTTTTAAACGTCATTACAATAATACTTTCAGGTTTTCGTTTACACTTTAACACTCATCATTCGTTTAAAAAAGGTGTTATTTGTTTGTTTGTTGTGGTTGTTGTTGTCATTTTTTTTTTTAAAAAAATTTGTTTGTTTTATGTTTGACTTATGGAGTTAAAAAAAATTTCAAAGACAATCAATCAATCACGAATAAGAATCAAATCGTTTAGAAAGAAAAAAAATTTTTTTTTTTTTTATTGTTTGTTTTTGTAATTATTATTATTTTGTCGTTTTCTTTCTCTTTCTTTCTTATTAAACCGTTTGTTTGTTTGTTTGTTTGTTAAGTAAAGTCCTTAAATTATTATTAATTACGGTAAATTTTTTTACGAGGGAGTTAAGAGTTTTGCATTTATCAATCATTTTTCAAAATCATTTTACATATGGCGCCATTTTTAATCAAATTGACCCATTTTTTTTTTTTCTTCTTACAAACAACAACAACAACCAACCATCCATCCATTCACTTTAATCGTTGTAACGCATGCTATAATTTTTTTTTCAATTGTTTCTTTCGTGCAAACATTAAAAAAAAAAAACAAAAAAATATACGTTTTGAACTAACGTAACAGTTATAAAAATAAAATAAAAAAATAAAATATATCCGGTTAATTTTTTTTTTTTTTATAACGTTTACGTATATATATAAACAACTCCATTCTTTAAAAAATCATATACTACAACAACCAGAACAACAAACAACAAACAACAAACAATAATTTTATCCCATTTTTTTTTAAATTGACACAACTCGTATTATAGACGTATTGCTTTTAATTGCTAATTACTTTTAAACAATGTAAAAAAAAAAAAAAAAAAAAACGAAACGAAACAGGCGAAGTATATTATTATCATTATCATTATCATTATTATTATTATTATTATTATTATTATTATTATTATTATTATTATTAAGTTTAAAATAAATAAACCCATCATAAAAAATTATTATTATTATTAATATTTTTTTTTAAATAAAACTTAATTTGACATGACGTAGATAGATTTTAAACTTTGATATATATGTATATGTACATAAATATTTTATTAAATTTTATTATGATGACGTCATAATATTTATTTAATTTATTTTAATTTAGGCGAAGAGATGATGATGATGATGATGATGAAACGGTAAAAAAAAAAAAAGGGAGTGATACAATTATAAAATAAATTTATATTATACTCCCGCGCATACGGACCAAAAAAAAAAAAAAAAATTAAATCATTTCGAGATTTCGATTCGATTTAAATTATCGATTCGATTAATCGATAATTTAAAATTCGTAAAATTGTTTTTACACCATTTTTTTATGCTTAAAAAAAATTCAATAAGTCACGTTTTAAATTACAAAAAAAAAAAAAAAAGTGGAAGAAAAACTTTTCATTTCTTTCATTTATTATTATCATCATCATCATTATCATCATCATCATCATTATCATCATCATCATCATCATCATCATCATCATCCTATCATCTTCTTAGTTTTTTTTTTTTTTTAAATAAAAATTTAAAAGCGAGAAAAAAAAAAAATTATTTTTAATGGTTCCACCTGATGAAAAGGTCATTCGCGCGAATATCAACATTATTTCATCTTTAATGGTCATGAGAATTTTCATTAAGGAAATTCTCAAACTAATGAAATTTATAAATAAATAAATAAATAAATAAAATTTACAACTTTTTCCCTTTTTTATTTATTTATTTATTTTTTATTTGTTTATAAATAAATAAATAAATAAATAAATAATAATAATAATAAAAAGCGTAAACGATGGGTTTTAGTAGTTATATCCCTTATCCCCTACTCCCATCCCTCTCTCTCCCTCCCTCATCTTACGTTATTCCTTTTTATATTCGGTTTTGGAACATTAAATTTTTTTCTCTCTCTCTCTCTCTCTGTTTCTCTCTCATTATCTCCCCCCCCCTCTCTCTCTCTCTCACTCTCTCGAAAGGCATCGATCGAAATAAAAACCTAAAAACCTAGAAAACGTTAGGCGAACGAACAAAAACTCTTAAAGTCATCTCGTATGTCATCTAATTTGTTTATATATATATAAAAATTATCAACAAAAAAATGATACCAGATTATTATTATTATTAACATACAAACAACGACAAACAAACGTACAAACGGTAGATTAAAATGTATAGTAAATATTTTCGAAAAAATGGCCTTTGAAAAATTGTGTTTTTCATTTTCACTCATCATCCCTTTTCCCCAAGTTCATTCATGTTTTTTTTACGCGTGACATTTGACCTCGCTGGTTGTTTAAAAACAAACGTAGTAATACGTTCGATTAGAATTTTACACATTCATTCATTCATTCATTCATTCATTCATTCACGATACGAAAACTTATTATTTTATTTAAATTATAATTTTTGTACTGTTATTTAAAAAAAAAAAAAAAAAAAAAAACGTGCGTTTAAAGCTCTCAACAATTTTTTTTTCCAGTTCAAATCGACCGGGAGAAGGGGAGGGAGGGGGGGGGGGGCAAATTTACGAGCCGCGAATTTAATAATAATAATAATAATAATTTAATTTTCTCACCTTTTGGTGTGTGTTCATCAAACGCGTCATTAACTGAATGGTTGACATAGAAAAGACGTGATAATAATAATAATAATAATAATGACGGCATTTAAAACGTATATCAAAATAAACCTACTCGGCGTTAGTAGTCTGTCAGTCTTGCCCCCTAAAAAAAAAAAAAAAAAAAAAAACCAAAAAAAATTTTGTTTTTTTTTCGTTCATATCAAACTGACTGACCATTACTATAATGCATTCCCTCTCAAATAATAATAATAATAATATTAATAAAGTGAATGTAAATTTTTGAGAGAGAGAGAGAGAGAGAGAGAGAGAGAGAGAGAGAAAAGTTTTCGCTTCAAAACGCGTAACAAAAATGTCGACGCAAGTTTAAAAAAAATTTTTTTTTTTTTTTTTCACTTTTACGCGCGACAGGTAAAATTAATAATAATAATAATAATAATAATAATAATAATAATAATAATAATAATAATAATAATGATAATAAAATTCAAAATTTGCCATTTCCACCAACCAAAAAAAAAAAAAAATTTAATTACGTAAAAAAACGGTTGGAATTGAAAAAAAAAAAATTTTTTTCAACGTTGGAGTCCACCATCCAGTTCAATTTAATTTTTTTTCCCTAAAAAAAAAACCTGTTTAAAATACCCCTCCCCTCCCCTCCCCCGTTGAAATAATAATAATAATAATAATAAATTAATAAAACGCTTTTATTTTTTTTCTCATTTAATACCTTTATCATCATCATTATTATTATTATTATTATTACTATTACTTTTTTTTTTTTTAATTTATATAAATTACTTAGTTATTATTAAGTATAAATATAATTTATAAAATCGGATATAATAATCGTAAAAATAAGAGAGAGAGAGAGAGAAAAT